ACTCAATTTCTCCAGATGATTAAGACACAATTCGATGTCATTGTTCGTGCTCTTCGTTTGGATAATGCCAAAGAATATGTGTCTGATGCCTTAGTGTCTCACTTTTCTTCTCAGGGTATCCTTCAGCAGCTCACTTGTCCATATAATCCTAAATAAAATGGAGTTGCTGAAAGAAAAAATAGGAGTCTGATAGGAATGGTACATTGTATGCTTAGAGGTATAGGGGTACCAAAATCTTACTGGCATTTTGCTGTTTTGACTTCTACCTTTCTATGTAATCGTACACCGAGTCGTGTTCTTCAGCATAGGGCTCCCTTACAGGTCTTATTTCCTGAGCGGACACTTTTTCCTGTCCCCCCTCGTGTTTTTAGCTGCATATGTTTTGTTTAGGATCGGTCTCCTAATAACCATAAACTTGATGATAAAGCGATTCGTTGTGTCATTGTGGACTATTGTTATCAGTCTAAGGGGTATCGGTGTTATGATCCTGTCAGGCGACGTATGTATCACGGTCTAGATATTACCTTCCTTGAACATATTCCTTATTTTTCTTCCAGTCCTGTGTTTGTCCCTCCAATTGATGATACTCCCTTTGATTTTCCGTTACCACAGGAGCCAAAACCATTGGTCATTATCACTACAGAGTCATCAGTCTCTCCTTCTTCAGAGTCACTCATCACTGTCAGTATAAAGTCACCAGTCTCTCTTCCTTTGCAGGTTTATGTTCGTCGCCCTCACTCTCATCCCCCTGCTGATATCCCCTTTACCTCAGGCGATACAGGTAATACTTCACAGTTCGTTAAGCATATTGATGCACCTATTGTTAGTATTGATGAGATTGCATGTACTGAGCCAGTTACTTTACTTGATAAGACATTGTCAGTGGAGGATGCTGATTTAGGGCGTCGTTATCCGTGGCATGATCGTTGTTCAGTTGTTTGTTATGGTTGGACTGCCAGGACTTTATATCCAATCTCTGCTTATGTTTCTTATGATGATCTGTCTCCTACATTTCGAGCTTATAGTATGGCCTTATCAGATACGCCAGTTCCTCGCTCTGTTTCAGAGGCTATGCAGGAGCCCCAGTGAGTTATTGCCATGCAGACGGAGATGGATGCTCTTCAGCGTAATCGTACGTGGGATCTTGTCTCTTTACCTTCAGGGGTGAAGCCTGTTGGCTGTCGCTGAGTTTACACTCTGAAGTTTCTTGCGGATGGTACTATTGATCATCACAAGGCTAGGCTTGTGGCGAAGGGCTTTACTCGTGATTTTGGTGCTACATTTGCCCCTGTGGCAAAATTGACTACTGTTCAATTGATTATTTCTCTGGCTGCGGAGTACTCTTGACCTCTTCATCAGTTAGATGTGAAGAATGCGTTTCTTCACGGTGATCTGGACGCGATTATTTATATGGATGCACCTCCGGGCTTTCGTGGTGAGGGGGAGTATGCTGGAAAGGTATGTCGACTGCGTAAATTTCTTTATGGACTGAAAGAGTCACCACGAACCTGATTCTCTCGCTTTAATGATGTAGTCTTACGATTGGGGTTCACCAGAAGTTATTCTGATCATACTTGTTTTATTCAACGAAATACTTCTAGACAGTGTGTCATCCTTCTGGTATATATTGATGACATTATTATTACTGGTGATGATGTTTCTGGGACTGCGCAGGTCAAGATAGACCTTGGGAAGACCTTCGACGTGAAGGACCTTGAATTTCTGCGAAACTTTCTTGGGATTGAGATTGCCCGTAGCAGCAGGGGTGTTGTTCTTTCTCAGAGAAAATATGTTCTGGATCTTCTTTCAGACACTGGGATGCTGAGGTGCAAATCGGTAACATCACCCATGATTCCAAACCTGAAGCTTACTGCTGAAGGTGAGGAGTTGAAAGATTCGACAGTCTATCAAAGGTTGATAGGTAGACTTATCTACTTAGCCAACACTAGGTCAGGCATTTCATTCGCAGTCAGCCAAGTTAGTCAGTTCATGCACAGGCTGTGTCAGCCTCATCTTGATGCAGTTTATCATATTCTTCGGTACCTCAAGTCTTGTCCTGAACTTGGGTTGTTCTATACATCAGGATCTCAGACTGGTTCTCTAGCCTGTTATTCAGATTCAGATTATGGGGGAACATGTGACGGTCGATCTACTACGGGCTTCTGTGCTTTTCAAGGAACTCATCTTATCTCTTTGAAGGGCAAGAAGCAGGCAGTTGTATCTCGCTCGTCAGCAGAAGCAGAGTATCGGGCACTGACACTTGGCACGTGTGAGATTATCTGGCTACGATCGATTCTTGGCAAGTTGGGATTTCCAGTGATTTCTCCATCTATATTATATTGTGATAATCGATCTGCTATTCAACTCGCTTTTGACTCTGTATTACATGAGAGGACGAAGCATATAGAGGTCGATGTTCACTTTCTTTGGGAGAAGGTTAGTCATGGTATTGTCACTCCATTATTTATGGGAACTAGTGATCAGGTTGCAGATATTTTCATCAAACCTGTCACTTTATCCATTCTTCAGGACTCAGTTGTCAAGCTTGACTTAGTTGATATTTTTGCGCCTAGCTTGAGGGGGAGTGTTGGAGTTATAGCCTAAATTATTAGGATTTCTTTTCCCTTTTTTATCCTTACTATGACTTTTATATTTTGCCTAGACCAAAAGAATGTTTAGGTCACTTTGTATTATTATTTGGCTATATATACGGGGCTATACTCTTAGTTTATGCCATTTTACTCACAAATATTTCTAGTCTCAACTAAATCTTTTGAACAATGCCTTCAGTTTTTCCTTTCTTCAAGTGATATCATAAAAAAAATAAAATACACATACCGATAAGTCCTTGGAAAATTTCTCTTCAATTACAAGAGCTTGTGTGCTGTTCATCCTAATTTTGTAGCTTGATGGTCTCAAAGTGAGATTTGTTGGCTCCCACTTCTCAGAAGAATCCATCTGTTGAATACATCAAGGAATTTCACATTCAGTCAGAAAGGAAAGGTAAGCAAACTTGAAATCATCCAATACGGATATAATATCCAACAATCAATAAACTTATTCAAAAAGTTTCTCTCCAACTCATGGTTCAATGAAGTGACCGAGTTCAATACAAGTATACAACTCAGTTCAAACGTATTTGACTTGAAACTTCATTCAGATATCATGGCCGATAATGCGACTTTGGACCATGCTCCATGGGTTTTGAAAACACCAAAGTTATTGTGGAAATTCACAACGTATTGAAAACAAGTCCATCTGTAAAACATTTGCTGAATTGAAACTTCAAAAAAACCCATGATGTCAAAAAGAAATCAAGATACGTGTGACTCATTTCAGATTATATGGAAGAGCACATTTATTTATGAATTCATATTCGCAAGTTCCTTTCATATGCAATTAATCTTCAGATCCAATCAATCCTATTCAATACAACTCTGTTTAGAAGATTGTTTACAAAGTATGATTTACCTTCTGACCAGCATGAACATATTTTCTATCATCAACGCTTGAACATCCTCACCCACCCTAGAAATAATACATCTTTCGCCTTTATTAGCATCTGGTACAAAAGATTATCACTTTTGAGGTCATTGTTTGTGTGTCTTTCAAAAAATATGTTTTAATTTGCAAAGTGCCATTTTACCTACCAACAAAGGATCAAACTTTCATTTTGGTTTGGTAGAAACTGAAAAGGAACAGTTGTGGAAAATCAAAATTCTCATGTTTCACAATGTTTTTCAATTGTTAAGATTGTTTCAGGATGTTCGAGTTGTTTCTTCCAATATTTTAGAATGGTAAAGAGTCTGGATTCTAAGTTTTTCTCCGTCCCAAAATACTTCCCAAAATGTTTGCCAGATCATTTCCTTTTATGATCCGACCGAAACTATACACAGAAACGAAATTTCAATCCTTGCATGTAAACTATGTTAGGAGATACCTACCATTGTATGATTAGCAAACAATAGAAACAAAAGGCCAGTGTCTCTATAATATCAAGGAAAGAGTGTAACAGTCAAATCAAAACTACCAGCATTAGAATACTAAATGAGGCTTGGCCTTTTGACATATGTGTGTCGATCTCCAGTTGCATATCTGGATCTATAAAATAACAGTGATCATCAGAAAATTCTGGAAAGAGAATAGCATCCAAAGGAGAAGATCAATATAATATGAACAGGACACAAATAAAGAATCCACATGTACATATTTACAACAACAGATATTGATCGCAACTGTTCAAAGGCAGCGAGCATTATCCCATCAGCTGTTTCTCTCTCCTTCCCTTCATATTTCCATAAATACGGGTACAGGTATAGTTCAAAGAACAACCTTAGTCCTATAATTTCCCATCACTTTTTTTGACCTCTGAGTTCTTTCTTCATATTTTCATGCATAAGGGTATAACTTCCTTCCATGAATCATTTGTCATTTTTATAAAAGAGAAATGCAAAGCTTGAATTTGATTCCCAATAGCGGAGCATAAACCTTCATGCAAAGATGTAGCCTTTAGGTAGTTCCTATTGATCCATACAAAAGAATAGAAGGGTGAAAAGTTGATCGGAGGATACCTAATCCACAATTTCTGGTACAATTACAAAGACGCTGTATTAACAAGTTAGCTAGTAGTTGTGATCATGAAAATCCAATTCAAGGTGGTCTTTCCAAGTATAAATTTTCTCTCTTAGTGTGGCTGATATCAAGTAGATGCCTGTACAGATGCTTCTTTCCTTCACCTACTTCTAGATGTGGGCTACCGATGGCGAAGACGGTGGTCAATAAGCATGTGGTGTCCCATTTTTATCTAAATTTGGAGGAGATGAACAAGGACATATCTGAAGCAAGTTATGCATCTCTGGTGTCCATCAAAGGTAAACATGTATCACAGTGATCATTTTATTTTGGGAATTTTGAATTGCTTTAAAAAATATCTACTGTAATTCTTTTTTATTCTAGTATGGTCCCCTCGTGTTGCATCCTATCCGTTGCTGCTGATGAATTTAAGCCGCAGTAAGCTGGGTCTTCTCCTTGTTCTTGTTCCCAACTCCTTCCCGGGTAGTTCCCCCCATTTTTGGCACTTCCAAACATAACAGGCAGTGTAGTTCTCTGAGCCTTATCTATATTGCATTGGTATTGATGGCTAGAAATGTACATTCTTGTTGGATTACCGTCGACAAGTAGAAAATTAACATCCACTTGAATTCATGTGGAATGTGATTAAAAAAAGATGAGTAAGCAGAGATAAATGACAAAGGGCACCTAGGAATTCTTTAAGTTTTTTACTTTAGTACGTTTCAGTCTCTCCTTTTCTGAGGCTGAATGATTGATGTGATCTTTGAGCTAGCTGTTTGATTGTGTTCAAAGGAATGCTATTGATTTGGAAATCTTTGCAGTAGATCTCATTCCTCCTAATTGTTGGTATCATTGGCATTGGGTGCTTTTGTTCAAATAATTAGAGGAATCATCTCCGTTGCATATCTTCTTCTCTTCCTTATTTCATTAAAACCTTAATTCCTTACTAAAATACATAACTATCTAAAGCAAGCAAGAAAGGAAGGCATGCAGAGAAGAAGACAAACACAAATATGTTGATAATGACCCAAAAAAAGCAGAAGGTTCCGCATCTCATTGACATTGCCCAAACATAATTAAGAAAAAAGCAAACTTCCATCACATGTCCAAGTCAAACAGACTTACCGCATGTTATTTTGTTCTGATCATTAGCAAAAAGTCTGACCAATTCTCCCTGATAACAAGAAACACATTAGCACAAGGGTTGATGAAGACAAAATTTTCATGCACTAAATAAAGTGAAAATGATTAGGTGGATGCTATAAGGAGTTATTGAAGAAAATTTCAGTAAACAAGGATCAAATCCAAGAGATCCAGCAATGGAGGCAAGAGTGCTGATCAAATCCATGAGATCCAGTAATGGACGCAAGAGTTGACAGAATCTTGATCAAAGAAGTGGTCAATGCTGGCTCCATCGTGTCCTTTATGTGAAGATTGGAGATCAACTTGCAACATCTGGACAAAGGGAATTTTGAGTAAAAGTATATTCTGATATCTCAAGCAAGGTGGGCCTGGTTATTTTTCTGCACCAGGTTGAGGGGGAGTGGTGGAGCATTTTTATTATTGTATCTTTGAGGGCACTCATGCCTTTGTATTGAAGTTAGTATAAAAAAGTTGAATACTAACTCCATCTTCCAACCATACTTTGTCTCTCTCTTCCTTTTTTCTTTTCTTCATTTTTCTTTTGTTTATTCCTTTTATCATTTGTTTGCAAAAGATTCAAAAAAAATATTATGTTTCTCAAGCGGAATGCTCCAGTATCAGATTATCAAGTATGGATCATCCACAAGCTTCAAAGCCATTTTCATGATTTCTTTGATGTCCACACTTTCAGAGCATCCACCCCAAAATCAATTGGCGATGAGTGGGGCCCCTGAAGTATGTAAACCAACCTTGTTAGTTCTAATTATTCGATGTGGGATACAAGCTTTCTTAACACTCTCCCTCATGTGGGACCCGAGCTCCTGCATAGGGTTAGAAAACAAAGAAACAACTATGCATACCTGAAAATTCAAATTAGTAAGAGGCTTGGTCTACTGACCACACAAGACCCAACTCTGATACGTTATTAGATTATCCATCCTAAAACCAATTTACTATGGGTAGATTGGCCCCTCAACTTGGTGTTCCTAATTATTCAATATGGGATACAAGCTCTCCCTTTTCTTTAATTCTACAACCGAGTTCTTCAAGGTCCAAAATTATGCATTCAAAGGAATTCCAATTTTGTCCAAATTTCCAATATAGGTTTATTGGCCATTTAACAAACATTGGCAGCAGTTTCCAAATGATAACATGAGCATTTTGGCCTACAATAGCTTCATTAAATAAGCAGTGAGAACTTAGCTAACTCACATCATTTCAGATAAATTTTCACCTACGTTGGTAGTTAGATATTGTCTGTATATTCTTCACTGCACATCTTCTAAAGACTCTGCCTTATCCATAAGCAATGTTCTCTTTTTCCTAGGTTCATTCCTTCAAGAACACCTACCAGTTTGTGGTGGTGTTTCACAATCTCTGAATGAGATTTCACTCAATTATTCATAAGGTTTGTAAGCTAACCACTCTATTTGTTGTTTGATCATCTTCTTTTGTGGAAAACTATGACCTTCCTTTAGCTCCAATACCAACAGATGCAGTCCAGACCATGAGATAACGATCAAATATCAATGAATTACGTAAGCATATCAGAGGCAAACAAAGCAAACTTCTCTGGTAAGATGCAAACGAAAGATAACTAGTTATTCCGAAGCCCGTTAAAGTTCACAAGAGAACACATGTTTGGATGCAATCTAATTGATAATCAAAAAGTACTTTTAATGCAGTCATAAGGACTTTCCATAAGAATGAGATTCGAGAATCCTGGTCATAAATATTTAAACAAACAAGAAGACCAATCTATACTGGATAATGTAGCAAAATCAGTTGAAGAGCAATTGATACAGTATTGCACTACAACAGTGGTATAATACCCCCTAACGTTGCTACATTGATCGATACACAGCTCTTGAATACTAGTGATAAGCCTCTGCTTGTTTGAGCTGATTTGTTTGCCTTATTCCACAGTCCTACTATAAGGAAAGGACAAGAAGGGCCCTGCTTGGAGAATTTAAATACCTCACCCTGAACACTATGGATACTTTCCCTTTTCAGTTAGTCCTTTTAATGTTTAAACTATGTTTTATACTAATTTAAGATGAGATACCTCTTTCAAAAGGATTGTTTTTGCATCGTTTCCTCTTTCATTTTCTTGTCATCATTTCAGAGGTACTTGGAGGATTTTTGATCTTAACTACCAAGGTATAATAAAAAAAACTTCCCTGAAATGCCTTATACTTAGTCTAACAGTAAAATTAAAAAGATTGTAACACCAAAAATGGTGGAAAATATACATTCAGGGGGATCTGTTTAGATTCTTACTTGTCATGTGATCAAACGCCAGATTCTTGTCGAAGTATCATAACAAAATAGAGTTTACCAGAATGAATTAGCCGTCATCTACTAAAGGTAGATCGGTCAGTAGAACTCTTGTTTTTCAAATCAGCAGAGATGTGCTTATTTGAAATAAAATAAAGCTATTAGTTACTCTCATTAGATTGAATGAAATTATGTATGGGACAAATTCTGAACACAAAAAGCACTTAAGCTTAAGATTGTAAATGATACTTCTTGGTGTAACCAATCAATAATGATCATAATTTCCACAAATGTTCAACTGGTCTGAGAAATATATACTTCCCCAGTTAAATATTTCTAAAATCAAACATAACATAATTGATTTGGAGTGAGTGTTATATTATTGACTGCAGATTGCATGACACTGTGGTGAGGACTTAACATATCATGTTGAAGTACATGCAATACCTGACGGCCTTGATCATTCATTGGTATGCACTCCACAGCAATAAGTTTATCGACATCATCAGCTGTGACTATGTATTCTGGATTGGTGGCTCCTAAACCAGAATCACAAAACAAGGACTAGATGAAATAGACCTTTACAGTCGATGTAAATAATTTTGAAAACCACTGAGGAAGCAACTAAACCACAAGTGAAGTCATGTTAACAATTACCTTCTATGTACTGCCTAGTGCCGTCTGGAAGATGACGAACCCACTAATGTTCCAGCCAAACATTATTGACAAAAAAACAATATAAAGCTTAATATAGAGTTGTTGCACAGGATATGCAAATTAGATACTGATGCCCTGGGATGAATTTTACCTGAAACATACACAGAGAAGTTCCACGTACAGGATATCCACAGCCTGAAAGGGTTCCTCCTGGTTTTGCATCCCCTATAATTTGGAAGCCTTCTATGCCAGGGCCCTCTTCTAATGACAATATTAATATCAGATTTCATGGAGAGGTTCACACATCTGTTTCAAAAATAATGGAATCCGTTACCTTCTAAAACAAAGGAAGCAACCCTGCCATGCCTCATGGTAGGATGAGACACGTCACCATCAATGTTATCTTGAGATCTCATAGTCGCTCCACTTCTATCAAACGAACTATTGATAGCAGTGCCCACAAGATTCCTGCAAAATTAATTCACAAGTATGAAAAAATTATTCAAAAGACAATAGTGAAATTACAACTGAACAAGGCAAATAAAGATCATGTAGCCTCAATGGTAAATATAACCCATTAGCTAGAGATGTCCAATTATAGCCAGCTCACAACTAGGAATAACCAAATAAAAAAAGTTATTGCCAATCAATGAGTTGGGACTGGTCACTGCGACTCAAGGATCGAATTTTGATTTGGTGCACATTCTTGCTCAACTCGGAAACAGAAAAGTTTCGGAAACGGTCGAAACAGAATGGACACAAAGAAATATTTGGGGTTTTGATTCTAGATCATTCTGAGACATTGGAAGAAACATCTCGAAATATTTCGAAGCATCCCGCAACATTCAAACATAAAACATGGGAATTTTGCTCCACCACTATTTCGTTTCTATTTTTAAAGAATCTAACGAAACAAAATGACCTAAACGAAACATAATTTTGATATTTGCTCTGACCAAGGAACTAAATTTCGTTTCGAAACACTTGAAACGTTTCCGTTTCCATGTAAACTGAAATGAATTATTAACTATATATGGAAATTCTTATGTTTACTGGTGTATCTAGGAGTTTCGGTCGGTATGTTTCAACGTGTTCCGATCAATGTTTTGAATGTTTCAAAAACAAATATTTAAATTTTTCTTTATTTCCACCTTGTTTCCCAAATATTTCCAAAATGTTTATGTTTTGAAGCTCATCGAAACTATAAAATGAAACTAAATTTTGACCCTTACTTCGATTAGTGTAAGTTGTCGTAATATCACTTAGAGGGTATACAATGTGTATAATATATTTGCAAATGAAGCCCTAGATAGAGGATTAAGTTGTGAATTGTGGTCGGGGACGGCCTTAAATTACCCACATCCATCATGCATTGCCCCATAACTTTAGAAACTACAAACAATGTCTCAGATAACCATCCAAGTAAATTTTGCAAATGCTGTCATGTATGGAAAGAAATTCTACTACTCTACACAAATAAGAAAAACCTCTCATCTAATTCCAAGAGAAATGTGAACTTTGGTTTTGATTTTGTTTCTTTTTTTTTTTTTTTGGGGGGTGGGGGGGTTGGAAGGGGCACTGAAAACAAACTGCCATGGAATGAAAAGAAATAACATAAAAAAGGATTCAAGTGAAAGGCTATGCTAATGAGAATAGCTGTTGCATTAAATCCTGTAAAGGCATATTTTTAAAATAAGGTAATGTTTCATCTTAGCACCAATTTGGTAAAACTAACAAAAAACTCCATTCTGAATACATTTTTATCCAATAGAAGACCTTTCAACATAGTAGCATAAAATAAGAACACAAAAGTAAGAAGTGGAGGCACACACCATCTGTGTGTGTCATCACACATTATCTTCTCCTTAAATCATTTTAAAGTGTTTCACGTGACCATGAGAATGGCTAGTGGGTGTATGCAAAGGGAAACTAGGATGCACCGGAAAAGTGAATTATGTAAATTAACTAGCTGATCATTTTTTTTCAAACAAGAAAAAATGCCATGACAATTTGAATAATTTATGCTGTACATCTAGATGGAGAACGGGCTTCACACCAATAGCAACAATAAAAAAAAAACCCAATTGGAAAACACTAGAATAAAAAGAGAAAGCCACTTGTGGTTTTAGTTAGCCTCCATTTCTCCTCTTTCCTATTCTTTTTGTCTTGAATAAATTAACCAAGTTAAGTAGAATCCAGTCTTAGAAGTTGCAAAAATGAGATGATATTAAGTAAATTATGCAACAAAAGAGTTTTATTTTCACATATTTTCATAATCACACCATCACACATTTTCATAACCACACCACTTGTAAGCATCCAATCAAAGATCAAAAGAAAACCCGAAGCATCTCAGTTGCAAAGCAACAGCAAGTAAGATAAAATAAACCTCACAGAATTAAAGCAACCCAAAACACTATCTCAAATATTTTGTTGTTCACAAAAAATTACATTTGCATCTAGAGATCTCGACCCCCCCCCCCGGCGCGCGGTTTTCAGTCCCATATATGCAACTTCGTCCCTATTTCTATGTAAATTGTATACGAAACAGATATAGTTAGCTTTCTGATTATTCTGATGTTGCAGGGAGTATCTGATTCTTTATTCTTTTATTTAGGCATTAGATTAATGCATCACAAATGAAACAATAATTGATGTCCCTTATCTGCACAGTGGCATGTGTTTTGCACATTACCACTGTTTAACATCTGTCGAAGTATGATATCCATTCCCGAGTGATACCTTATAGTTTGCGATATCCATTCCCCAATTTCTTCACAGATTCCACTCACTTCCTACTAAATTCTTTCTTTATATCATTACTTTTTCTACAAATGTCTATTTCAATTGAATATGTGATTACTTCTTAAACCTCAGCAACTTTAATTCTATCACTATATTCCCCTTTTTATTTTTTGATAATTACTACAAATGCACCATGTCCCAACCAAGGCTTCAACACTCAACCTCACACTTTTAGGTGGGAAAAGAGACGCTAACCATTGCTGCTAATATCCCTATTTTGTACTTCAGTACTTTTGGGCTTTTCCCTACTTAATGCCTATCTCCTTCACTTTGGAGCAATTCAGTTCTGGTGACAAATACAGGATTTGGCTTTCTTGCTCACCAAGAATCAGTGAAAAAAATAGCAATGCATAAAAAACAATTAAAAAGACATTCAGGAGTGAATTCACTAATAAGATAGCAATGCAAGTCGAAGAAGGAACACTGGTTGAAGCTATACTATTCTGAAAAACATACGGGATTAACTACATTCAGGTTTTTGTAGCACGACTTATGATGTTTGTGCATAATTCACAAAATACTTGATGGAAACCAATAGAATTCATTTTAGCATAATTTAGCCCATACAATTCAGATGCGACAAACAAGAACAAACTGATGCCGACCTCTCGGTGTTGGATGCTTGCTTCAGCAAATTGTCGTTATTTGGAAACTGGTGAGTCCCACCATTGGGTGATAAGCTTTTCATTTGTGTATGACCACTGCCATGTGCTAGTCTTGACACATTATTGACTGTTTCCAAATGTTGTTCACCTATATAGTTGTGATAAAGAGAAATGTCTTGCTCCCCCTGATCAAAAGGAAAGCAAATCCACATTTAAAATTGTACATTAGAGAAATAAAAGATGAGCTACGGTGGCAAGATTTAAAAAAAAAACAATTTGAGCGAATAAAAAACTATCAAAAAATTCTAGCCGTACCGTAGATCTATGCAGAAGATGATTATTGAAGGGACTAGAACTATTGTTGTCTAGAGATCGATTTCTAGCATCACTTCCCACCATGGAATTCAACTCCCCAATCCTAGCCTGCGGAAAAAAAGTACATTCATCCTTAGTAATTTCATATAGCAAATGACCAATGACGACAGGTTACATAGAACTAACTATACAGGAACATTTGAAATCAGTACTCATGAGAACTATTGATATGCCAGAATGAGTCAAATTAGATATGCCACAATTAGTCAGATAATAGGAATGCCAGTGGGACAAAATAAATATCTGATGTTACAAACAGCAAACCAAGATGCAAAATTCAATGAGGCAGCATGTATGACAAAGACAACAACTAACTTTTTCAATTGAGCGCTGCTGCTGTTTTGATCACTCTTACATTATGTCTACACATTCAACCTTAGAAGCAGAAAGAAATAAAAATTTGATGACGAGAGAAAGTAAAGAAAAATAGCACCAAGTTCACTAGAAATATTTGTGAGTGTCAAGTTTGGAAGATTAACATAATATTAGATATAATATTTTGGGAGAAACAGAGAGAGGTTAAAAACTTAACCTATCTCTCATACATAACTTGTATTTATAGTTAACCTACAATAATAATAATAACACATACACCCTCTTACTATTAACAATTTACACATACTACCCTATTATTCTTAACACTCCCCCTCAAGCTGGACTATATATATCATATAATCCAAGCTTGCAACAAATATCTGTAAGACTTGTACGACTCAATGCTTTGGTAAATATATCTGCAAGCTGATCTTCAAATTTCACAAATGGAGTTATAATCTCCCCAACTACTATCTTGTCTCGAATAAAATGACAGTCAACCTCAATATACTTGGTTCTCTCATGAAACACAGGATTGGCAGCGATATGGATAGCTGTCTGGTTGTCACAGAACAACTGTAAAGAAAGTTGAACTGGAAATCCAATTTCCTAGAGGAAGCGTAGTAGCCAAGTCAACTCACTCGTCGTATGTGTCATTGCCCTATACTCAGCCTTAGCACTGGATCTTGCTACCATGGGTTGTTTCTTACTTTTCCATGAGACAACATTACCTCCTAGGAAAGTACAATAACCAGTGGTTGATCTCCGATCAGAAGGAGAGCCAGCCCAATCAGCATCTGAGAAACCTTCCACTCTAAGATGTCCATTAGCTCGATATAACAGTCCAAGTCC